CTGCCAGATATTCTTTAGGGATTGTTAACATTCCCTAGGGATTCCGAAGGATCCCCAATGGATGCTTGGGGATTCCCCAACGGGTTCCTAAATACTCCCCAGGGCTTCCTAAGGATCCATCCTGGTGTTTTAAGATTCCAGATGGTTATTGTGGATTACGAAGGATTCCCTAAGGATCCCTAAGGAACGATTCACTCCCAAGGGACTTCTAAGGATTCCTCCGGGATTCCCAAGATTCCCGAAGGATACCATCAGGATCCCGAAGATTCCCTAGGGAGTCCTAAAGAATCCCGAGGGAGCCCTAATGATTCCCTTGTGATTCTCAAGGATTCCCTGAGGATTCCTCTGATTCCCAATCGTTTCTTAAGATTCCCAAAGGATTCCTAAGGATTCCCTGAGGATCCCGAAGGATTCCTAGCATTTTCGTGGAATTATTAAGAATTCCTTATGGTTTCGTTACAACCTCCTAGGGCTCCTTAGGGATCCCGAAGGTTTTCCTGGGGACCCCTAAGGATTCCCTGGGAATCCCCTCGGGGGTCGTACGATCCCCTAGGGAATCCTAAGGGAGTGCTACGATTCCCCAGGGAATCCTACGATTCCTTAAGGAATCTTTGGATTCCATGGGATTGGTGGTCGCACTCCCCGTGTGCCAACGACCGTCCCGGCCCCGGTGGCCTGGCCGGGGGCGAAAAACTTAACAACCTTCGGAATCCTGTAGGGTTGTTGGTCGCACTCCCCGTGTGCCAACGCTTTTCCCGGCCCCGGTGTGCATACGCCCCTCCCGGCCCCGGGGGGGGGGCTAAGCTCCACCAGCTCCTTCTCATGCCTTAAAGCTACCAACTTCATTTTCCAAGAAGAACAAGATCTCAACAACAGGACGGTGGTTGCAACGAACAACAACAACAATCATTTTAGGACTGTTCGCCCTTATCTGCTCGAGTGTCCAATAACGCGTATTTCCCAAACCCCCGATACCCGCCCTCTTCGTCTTCGATCGAACCGTTTTCGGGGGTATGCTTTTTTTCCCAGCAGGCCGGGCCCCGGCAAATGGCGGGGCGGCCGCGGACCGTCGACCCGACCCCAAGAGGGACGGACAGGGGACCGACCACGACGACGACGACGACGACGACGACGACGACGACGACGACGACGACGACGACGACGACGACGACGACGACGACGACGGCGACGGCGACGGCGACGGCGACGACGACGACGACGGCGGCGACGACGACGAGCGAAAGCGAGAGCGAGAGAGAACGAAAGCAGGGCCACAAGGACACGAAGTAGGCCACGAAGGGCGACAGCGGGGACACGAAGGGAATGCGTATGGGGCCACGAAGAGCGCGAACGAGCGGGGGCCACGAAGGGCATACGTATACTGGGCCGCGGAGGGCAAGGTAGGGGCCATTGAGGGCATCAGCGGGGCCACGAAGGGCAGCGAGGGGGCCACGAAGGGCGACGGCGGGGCCACGAAGGGCAGGAAGGGGGCCACGAAGGGCGACAACGGGGCCACGAAGGGCATGCGCATGGGGCGGGCGCGAACGATCGGGGGCCACGAAGGGCAGATCATGCGGGGCCACAGAAGGCAACGACGGGGCCACTGAAGGTAGCAACTGGGCCACGTAGGACAGTGAGGGGGCCGCCCTCGAGCTGGGCACAGTGCGTGCGCTGCTGGGCGAGATCGAGGAGCGCGCGGGCGTCCCCGAGACCGTTCTGGCGGTCGAGCCCACGGCGGTCGCCGCCTGGGCTCGAGAGGGCCAGGGCGAGGACGAACCCGCCGCCCAGCAGACCGAGGAGCAGAAGCGCAGGGCCGAGAGAGTCGACAAGGCCGGGCACGTCCTGATCCGCGTGCAGTCCAAGGCGACCGCGCACTACACCTACCTCAAGGCCGGCGGTTGCCACAGTTGCCCTGCCACAAGGTGCCTCCAGCTTTTCGCTTAATTTGGGGCGAATCCTGGGCGCACCCTGGGCAGGGGGCGCTTGGAGCAACGCCCGCCAAGGTCTCGACGATCGGCGGGGGCGTCGCGGTGGAGTACCGCGCGCCCCCAAGCAGCCGCCCGAAAACCCCGAGCAGGCCTAAAGGGCCGCATGCGAACTCGCACTTGCACCCCCGCGATTTCTAAGGGGTGAGGTAACTGGGGTTCACTTTGCTCGGGGGCTGCCGAACTAAGTGAACCCCGTCTTCCTCCTCGGAAATCGCGGGCGAGGTTCGCGCGTGGCCTTCCAAGGGCGCCGCGAGGATCCTCCGCAAGCTCGGCGCCATCGGCCCTGGCGAGACCTGCCCTGCGAGGGGCAACGAGACGTTCCATGCCGACGCCTGGTCCTGCGGCCCGTGGGCGAGTCGCCGGATCGAGCGCGCCCTGCGCGAGATCCGAGGCGAGGGCCGCCAAGCGCACGCGAACATCAACGCGATGCGCGCCCGAGGCAACGAGTGGATCAATATGCTCGAGGGGGCCGGCGACAACGACTTGGCCAATGCCAGGGCCACGGCCAAGAGCAAGGCCAAGTCCAGGCCCTTCAAGGACCCCGCGGCGGTCGAGCCGACGCGCGCTACCTCCGAGGGGGCAAGCGCTGCCGCCCAGGCCTGCGCCCAGCGCCTCCCGCGCAATGGCGGCCCCGCAGGGTGCCGAGCCTGCGTGGGCGAGCGGTTTGAGGTCGCGCGCAATAGAGGTTTCTTGGTCAGAAGGGCCAAGGGCCTCTCTTGCGCCGGAAAATTGTAGCCGCGAGCCTCGAGATCTCCCGAGTCAGTCTTGCGCCGAGATCTACAAGGTCAGTCTACACGAGCGCCCAGGATCATCATCGTCATCGTCATCATCATCAGCAGCCGCATCACCCAATTAACATCACCTTCCCCGGGAAAATCGTCGATCATCCCCCCCCACACTTCCGAAATTACTATCCCACGTGAGTTATTATCGGGAACGTGGGGTTATCTAAGTCACCTCCATGGCGCCAGCGCGTTACGCTAACTTTGCACGCTCGGTGCGGCTATCACTGTTTAGACACCTGCGGATCATGCGTTCCAAATGCGCCACTTAAACCATTGTGTTTGTGCCAGTTGCCAAGCTACGTATTTGCAGCGTTGCGCCTTCTCTGGCATTGGTCCGCCCCCATCAATATCACAGTTTGGTCCGCAGTCGTCGTCCTCGTCGTCGTCGTCGTCCTCCTCGTCGTGGTCGTCGCGGTCCTTGTCGTCGTTGTCATCGTTGCCTTCGTCGCCTTCGTTGCCGTTGTCGTCGTCGTTGTCGTCCTCGCTCGTCGCTCGTCGGTCATCGTCGTCGTGCGCACGGCCCTGGTTGGAGCCTGTTTTCCGATTCCGGGCCGATGACGGCAATCATGTCTGTGGGTGGGGGACGCCGATGACGTCACGTTTCGCGCCGGCTGCGTTTGGGAATGCTGGGGAATGACCGAGGACGGGTAGCAACAGCATGTAGGTGGCGATCTGCACCACACCGTTTGTGTACACCACTCTGCCTGCGTGCACCACAGCGCGCGTGTACACCACACCGCCCACGTACACCACCGCAGCCGCGTGCAACACAACGCCAGTGTGTGCTACAGTGCCTGCGCACGCCACAGCGTTTCTGTAAAAAAAAACGCCTGCGTACACCACATCAGCCGTGCGCAACACATCATCAGTGTACACCACAATACTTGCGTGCACTACGTCGCCTGTGTACAACACGGCGCTTGTGTGCACCACAGCATCCGTGCGACAAAAAAACACCATTGTTGCATATAGAATGTGAGGAGGCAGCTGTATGACGAGATGGAACGCCTACGCGTTGTTTTGTACATGATTTGAACGCCGCTGCAATCTGCGAGTTGTTCAGAGCCCGCCTGCATCATCCTAACTCCTCCCATCTGCGCCCATGAGCCTCGGCAGAATTGGCCGTCCGAGAACCAAATGGATTGATTCAATAGACCATCCTGCGGTGCACGTTGAGATGCGCATTTGCGCTGTCGTCCCGACCCGCACGACAGGGGGAAAGGGCGAAGAAGGAGGAGGGGGAGGAGGAGGAGGAGGAGGAGGAGGAGGAGGAAATGGAGGAGGAGGAGGAGGAGGAGGAGGAGGTGGAGTTGGAAGAGGAGAGGGGGAAACCGTCGCATTCTATTATCAGCACGTACCTGGCGTGGCGTTGAGCTGGCCGCAGCAGATCCCCACGTCCATGCTCCTTATACTTGTCCTGTGCACGCATGCGCAATGGTGTTCACCAGCGCTGCGTTGCACGCGGATGCTGTGGTGTCGACAGGCGCGGTGGTGTGCACAGGCGCTGCGGTGCACACAAGCACTGTGGTGTACACAGGCGCTGTGTGGCACATGGTTGCTGCGGTGTACGCATTCGTTGTGGTGTACATCGGTGCTGTGGCGCACGCCAGCGCTGTAGTGTACGCAAGCGCTGCGTTGCAGGGCTGGTGCGGTTTACGCAGGCGTTGTAGTGCACACGCGCGCTGTGGTACACGCGAGCAGTGTGGTGTACACAGGCATTGTGGGGCAGATTGCCGCCTACATGCTGCTCGCGTCGTAGTCGTCGTCATCGGCATCCTCGTCGCTCGTCGTTCGTCGCTCGTCGCTCATCGTCGTCGTGCACGCGGGCGCGGCTGTGGTAGCGGAGCCACACGGCGGGTGAGGGCGTTACGTCATACCCCCCCCGCCTCTCCCCCCATGACGCCTGTCATTGCCGAACAAAAGATGCGCTCATAGCGTTTCAGGTTGCTGTGCGATGCATGGCCTTCGGCTCAAGTCGAAATTCCGCCGCTCGGCGGTACTGGACGCATGCGCCTTCATTGCGACTGTTCGCTGCAGTACAAAGGTGTTCTATCGGCAGTACCCTAGTTTTTAATGTAAGTATTCGGAATAACAAGGGGGGGGGACGAACATGAGTGGGGGAACGGGAGCAGGAATGAGGAGAAGGATGTGGGGACTCGAGGGAGGGGGAGGAAGGGCAGGGTGCGATGGCCTGGGTGGTCGCTTGCGGGTGAGCTCGCCGCAGGTGATGGACGTCTGGACGGCGTTGTTACGGGCTCTGTCTTTCGTCCGGGAGGACATCACAGGCGTTGCCCCGTTGAGAGGGGGGGAGCCGGAGGAGACGGGATAACGAATCGGAAGAGCACGGCGAGAGGGAGGGTCTGCGTGAGGCGCGTTCCGGTTGCACGTGGTTCAGGTCTTGGAGTCCGAGTCGGTCTTGGCGATTACTGTCAGGTCTCATCTCGAGTTGGTCGGTTTGTTCTCGTTTGCAAGAGCTGCCGACGGAGGCCAGCTAGTGTTATTTCGCTGGGTCGAGGTGGAGATCTTGAGCCTGGCATCGCTCGGACGTGTGCATTTTTCCGTCGGCGAGGACCATCGAGGAGCATCCTTGATCAGTTGGCAGAAAAGCCATGCACGACACCAAGACAAAACACGGAATGGACGTCCGTGCGATGGCCAGTGAGAGACCTGCGCACGCATGGCCAATGGATTCATACACGTATAGTTTTGGTGCGTGGCCACGCCGGGCTCGCAGTCGGTCGAGACGCTTCGGAATCAAGCGTTCAATGCTATGTGTGAGTTATGTGTTGTGCTGTTGGGCTTGATCCGAATTGGCTGGTCGTGGTACTATGGATTCGTCTTTGCCTGTATCCACTAGATGATGGTCTCGATGCCACCAAGCTTCCCATCTCTGGATTGCTGCCAGTTTGTTGCTGGCAGCGTTCGGTAGACAAAGGAAGGTGGCTGCCCCTTGCTGCCAGGATCGTCGCCGCAGCCTGCGATTGGTTTCTTCTCCTGCAGATCTTATTTTGCGGTTAAGTCTGGCTGATGTTTCTGCTCTTGTTTGGGATTGACCCTCACACGAAAAGAAGGAGAGGCTACGCGGTTCGCCCCTCAGGGGCTCATCGGGCCAATTTTCCGACGGTGTCGCATCGAACGAGCACCGTCGAGAATGGGACCTGAGGCGGAGCGGAGAGATGCAGTGTACACTGTGGGCTTCAAGCATAAGCTCCTGCACGCTGCACCCCCATGCCTCCCCCGGGCATTGCCTCAGTGCCTGCCTCTTCCTCTGGGCCCCATCGGCGTCCTCATGGGCGTCGGAAGTCCATCGGCGTCCTCGGTGCCCATTCCTCCGGAAGTCCATCGGCCTCCTCAGGGGGACCCGCAGGGCTTCCTCACAGAATCCATGGAGCCCCTCAGGACATCTCATGGCATCGTTAGGAGTTCCGTCGGACCCCTTGGGAATCGGGGATGGACAGGACCCCCAACAGCGACACGTCGATGAGTGAATTGTCCGCTTTCGGTTCTCGAGAGGGCGCCGTGGCCGTTATTTTCCAGGCTCGCGCCCGCCAGGTTTGGGCCTCAGGTCGTTTTCACTAAACCACGTTTTGCTAAAGGGGGGTCTTGTCCATCCCCGACATTGCCACCCGCCCGAGCCAGGATGTCCCTCACAATTTCGAGCCGGGCGTGTTCGTACAATTTCGGGCCCGGGGCCCTCACATATCTATCCGGCTCGCAAAATGATGCAGAAAGATGGGTCTGGGGCTCCGGGCGTGGTTTTACTAAAGGGAGCTCCGTCGGACCCCTTTGGGAACTGCCCGTCGGATGCCTCTGCTCCACCCCGGGGCCTGTCGCAGGCGGAGGGCGGGAGGCACGGCGCCCGCGCCCAGGATGGAAGTCGGGCGCGTCCCCCCAAAGGGGGGGATTTTCGACGAAGAATTAAATAAATATCCCAAAACATATCCCAAAAAATATCCCAATATATAAAGAATTAAATAAATATCCAAAAAATGATGCAAAGATAGTCCCAAACTAGTCTGGGGACAATTTTTCGAGCATCTTTTGATCGTTTTGCTGCCTTCTGGGGGTATTTTTTCTGTTTTTCGTCGACCATTCCCCCGTAGGAGACAGGCCCGACTTCAGCCCAGGAGGTCGTGGCTCTCCCCGCCGCTCTCCTCGGCGAGGCGGGGCGTGCCCCCGGGGCCTCGGGGCGGGGGGCAGCCCATCGCCGCGCCGGGCCTCGCGGAGCTCGAGGGCGCTGCCGCGAGCGGCCAGTGTCCGCACCTCGCTCGCTCGCTCTTCCTCCAACCTCGGGGGCGGCAAAGAGGGGGGCGGTGACCAGGGGGGGGGATATCGTGGCGGGGGCCACGATATTTCCCCAGATCTCATGGCGCCCCTTCTCATTTCGTTACGTCCCTGGCCCCCCCGCTGGGCCGCGCACGTGCCGCCGGTCATGATTTGCACCCCCCCATCTTGGACACCCCCCTCCTGGCCGCTCCCGACCCACCTCCCCGCAGACTTCCTCTACCAGCAGTGGGAGAAGGAGATGATGAAGTGCTGGAGCGAGCGCGTGTTCCGCGTGGTTCACCCCGTCAGCGACGTCGCCTCACGAGCCGCATTTTTTGCGGGCGCGTGGGGCCCGTCTCGGAGAGAGAGCGAGGCTTGCAGAAGGGCAGGTCGATGTCTAGGTGGAGTGCGAATGAGAATGAGGTGGGCGGGGCGATGAGGACGGACAGAGGAGGATGGGC